ACTATAATTCGAGGATGATGCATTGTCAACTGCTGTAATGTCAAATGTTTCTCGAAACTTATTTCCAGGCTATGCATTTCATAATATAGCTGGCCACTCCTATTCGAGGACAACCGTCTACCAGGGCGGCTAGCCAATCCCTATTGCAGACGCTTGCTCAGGCGCATTTACGTTTATACAACACCTACAGAGACAACATATAGTTTATAGTGCAACTATGGTGAGCAGACCTTAGTTACAGTTTCCGAGGAAGAACGTGTTATCTAGCGTGATCAATAATTTGAATAAAGACTACACGCTCAAGATATCTTGTGACGTGTGACTTCGTGCTAACACAGCTATCAACGGTCGCCGTCCGCAAATCTTGGGTCAACTCACTTTGCAAAGGTGTCACACGCTGGGATCGATCCCTCCAGTCTCCTTCCTGACAAATCGAGAGATTCGATTATATTCGAATTATTCGAACTATTTAGACGATCTATCACACTATCTAAGTTTATGTATGTATGTATGTATCGATCTATATATCTCAGTCTATTAATATCTATCTATCTATCTATCTATCTATCTATCTATCTATCTATCTATCTCAGTCTATTAATACATTGTCTGTCTATCTATCTATCTATCTATCTATCTATCTATCTATCTATCTCAGTCTATTAATATCTATCTATCTATCTATCTATCTATCTATCTATCTATCTCAGTCCATTACTATCTATCTATCTATCTATCTATCTATCTATCTATCTATCTCCATTACTATCTATCTATCTATCTATCTATCTATCTATCTATCTATCTATCTATCTATCTCAGCCTATTAATATCTATCTATCTATCTATCTATCTATCTATCTATCTATCTATCTATCTATCATGCTCCGAAATTGATACTTCACATCTCATGATGTTGGTCCGCAGGCAGTTTGTAATGCATATTAGCAATGGCCCCTGTGACAAAATTGGTGGCGCCTATGCGAAAAAAAATAATAATAAATGAATACCTTAGAAATCACTGTTCCAAATGATGTTATTGGATTTCCTTTATCCTTTGTAGTTTCTCTGGAAATAATTCAGTTGCATGATTTTCTGATCATCCTGTGTACATTTTAAAGATCAATCTTGTCTGTTTTGGGGAATTTTCTGTTTTTGATGAGCGAGTCTCTTTGCTAGCAACGACCATTCGCTTGTATGATGTAGACATAATGATTCCGCTGAGGTGACATCGATCTTTTGAACTTGAGCCAACATTTCGCAGTACAGCTGGACATCGATAGACGGCAAACGTGACCATATTGGCGGGTCATCTGTTAAAGACGTGACATCCCCCCTCATCAACTGTCGACTTCACAGTCGGTTACCAAGGTTTACTTACCGTTTCATTATCTACAATACTTGCTTTTGAATTAACAACTTCGTTCTTATTTGCTTTTCTTGCTTTCCATTCTCTCAATTCTTGCCACTTATTTTTATAGTTCATCTTTTGTTTGCTTCACCACCACTTCTTTCTTTCTTTCTGTCTTTCTTTCTTTCTTTCTGTCTTTCTTTCTTTCTTTCTTTCTTTCTTCTACATTCTTTCTTTCTTTTTTCTTTCTTTCTATATTCTTCCATTCGTCTATATTCTTTCTTTCTTTCTTTCTTTCTTTCTTTCTTTCTTTCGTCTATATTCTTTCTTTCTTTTTTCTTTCTTTCTATATTCTTCCTTCGTGTATATTCTTTCTTTTTTTCGTTTATATTCCTTCTTTCTTTTTAATTTTCCTCTTTCTTTTTTTTCGTCTGTATTCTTTCTTTCTTCCTTCGTCTATATTCTTTCTTTCTTTCTTTCTTTCTTTCTTTCTTTTGTCTATATTTCTTCTTTCTTTTTAATTTCATCCATATTCTTTTTTCGTCTGTATTCTTTCTTTCCTCTTTCTTTCGTTTACATTCTTTCCTTCTTTCTTTCATCCTCCCTTTTATTTTTCATTTTAATTTCTTTCTCATGTTTTCATTTTTTATTTTCTTCCTTCTTTTTTAATTATTCTTTCTTTTTTCCTCTTTCTTTTTTTATACCTTTTCTATTTTTTTTTCTATTTTATTATTTTTACATTACTTTTTTTCATTCATTTACTTTCATTCATTTACTGTCTTTCTTTCTTTCTTTCTTTCTTTCTTTCTCTTCACGTTTTCTCTTTCTTTCTCGTTTTCTATCAATTTCGTTTTCTTCCTTTTTCTTCAACAATCCCTCATCTTAAATTTCCTTCCTTTTCTCTTTTCTTCTTTTCCCCCAAATTTTCTTCACTTTCCTTTATTTTCCTTTCATCTTAAATCTCTCCATAATAATTTTCCCCTCTTTAAAGAAGCCTTTCACCGTATTTCCTTTCATTTAATTCCTTGTCTCACATGTGTGTTTCCCCTTTACACCTTTAACTTTAAAACTCATCTCACTTTAGAATTGCCATTAAAATACCTGTTTATTTTGCCTTTCGTCTCTAAACATTGTCAGGTTTTAATTTATCTTTCTCTTAAGTCACACCATCCATTGACATAACAGACTGGCACCATTTTATCGACTTGGAAGTAAAGCATCGTGCATACAAGAAAGGTTTCCACGACATGTTAGAAAGTCAATAGACACTTGAAATTTTTGCTGAATTGATCAGACTCAAATATTGCTGAGATCTGAAGCGTGACCTATCTGCTAATTCCTATAAACTATCTATAAAAACATTTCTACCGCAATGAGTTTCTATCTATTTCTTTTCCGAAAACAGGCAAGTATATACAAGTAAGGGTATACAGGTTAGTATATATATATATATATATATATATATATATATATATATATATATACTTTTCTGTGCCCATTGGTTTTCGGCAAAAATGGATGTTTTAAAGAAAAAGAAATTGTGGTATACATAGTGCAGAAAGAGGCAGTTTGGAGAATTTGATACTCATTAGACAAATTCAAGTGAAGCAGGGCCGGGGGAGACAACGGGTAATCAACTTAATGAGTTTTAGTTAATGGATGACAGAGGGATTGTAAATGATCAGATGTTAATTAGAGAAGAAAAACAGAAAATTTCTTTTTTTTTATTTAACAATTTTGGAACAACTCTTTCCTTCTATATATACTAAACGTTCTTTCTTTCTTTTCAAGCATTTTAGATCTACTCTTAGAATTTAGTCTTTCTTTCTTTCTTTCTTTTGAAACTTTTTAGATCTACTGTTAGAATGTATTCTTTCTTTCTTTCGCGACATTTTAGATGTTTTCATAGAATTAACACTTTCTTTTTTCTTTCTTTCTTCCTTTTGAAAATTTTTATATTTACTCTTAGAATTTAGCCTTTCTTCTTTCTTTCTTTATTTCTTTCTTTCTTTTGAAACATTTTACGTCTACTCTTAAAATTTAGTCATTCTTTCTTTCTCTCTTTCTTTTGAAAGATTTTAGATATGCTCTTAGAATTTAGTCTTTCTTTCTTTTCTTTCTTTTGAAACATTTTAGATCTGCTCTCAGAATTTAGTCTTTTTTTCTTTCTTTCTTTCTTTCTTTCTTTCTTTCCTTCTTTCTTTCTTTTGAAACATTTTACGTCTACTCTTAAAATTTAGTCTTTCTTTCTTTCTTTTGAAAGATTCTAGATCTACTCTCGGAATTTAGTCTTTTTTTCTTTCTTTTGAAACATTACGTCTTCTCTTAAAATTTAGTCTTTCTTTCTTTCTCTCTTTCTTTTAAAAGATTTTAGTTATGCTCTTAGAATTTAGTCTGTCTTTCTTTCTTTTGAAACATTTTAGATCTACTCTCATAATTTAGTCTTACTTTCTTTCTTTTGAAACATTTTACGTCTACTCTTAAAAGTTAGTCTTACGTTCTTTCTTTTGAAACATTTTAGATCTACTCTCATAATTTAGTCTTTCTTTCTTTCTTTCTTTCTTTCTTTTCTTCTTTCTTTCTTTCTTTCTTTTGAAATATTTTACGTCTACTCTTAAAATTTAGTCTTTCTTTCTTTCTCTCTTTCTTTTAAAAGATTTTAGATATGCTCTTAGAATTTAGTCTTTCTTTCTTTTGAAACATTTTAGATCTACTCTCATAATTTAGTCTTTCTTTCTTTCTTTCTTTCTTTTGAAACATTTTACGTCTACTCTTAAAATTTAGTCATTCTTTCTTTCTTTTGAAAGATTTTTGATCTACTCTCGGAATTTAGTCTTTCTTTCTTTCTTTCTTTTGAAACATTTTACGTCTTCTCTTAAAATTTAGTCTTTCTTTCTTTCTCTCTTTCTTTTGAAACATTTTAGATATGCTCTTAGAAATGTGTCTATCTTTCTTTTCTTTCTTTTGAAACATTTTACATCTACTCTCAGAATTTAGTCTTTCTTTCTTTCTTTCTTTCTTTCTTTCCTTCTTTCTTTCTTTCTTTCTTTCTTTCTTTTGAAACATTTTACGTCTACACTTAAAATTTAGTCTTTCTTTCTTTCTTTCTCTCTTTCTTTTAAAAGATTTTAGATATGCTCTTAGAATTTAGTCTTCCTTTCTTTCTTTTGAAATATTTTAGATCTACACTCATAATTTAGTCTTTCTTTCTTTCTTTGGAACATTTTAGGTCTGCTCTTAAAATTTAGTCTTTCTCTCTTTTTTTTGAAAGATTTTAGATATGCTCTTAGTATTTAGTCTTTCTTTCTTTCTTTTGAAACATTTTAGATCTACTCTCATAATTTAGTCTTTTTTTCTTTCTTTCGTTCAATTGTAACATTTTATATTTTCTCTTAGAATTTACTCTTTCTTTCCTTTGAAACATTTTACATCTGCACTTAAAATTTAGTCTTTCTTTCTTTTCAAACATTTTAAATCTACTGTTAGAATTTACTTTTTCTTTCTTTTTTTCATTCTTTCTTTTGAAAATTTTTTAGATCTACTCTTAGAATTTATTCTTTCTTTCTCACTTTCTTATGGAACATTTCAGATCCACTCTTAGATTTTTTTTTCTTTCTTTCTTTTGAAAGATTTTAGGTCTACTCTTAGAATGCATTCTTTCTTTCTTTCTTTCTTTCTTTCTTTCTTTCTTTCTTTCTTTCTTTCTAACCTGGATATGCTTAACGTCACTTCCTTAACAAGACACAGCTTACTTGATAATCTCAACTTACATGTTTTGTTTCTTTATTAGATTTTTCTCTCATTTTTTTCATACAATTCTTTGCCTCGGAATATTCTGGGAAATCTTTTCCATCTATGATTCAAGACATTTGCTTCCGGCTGTAAATTTTGCCAACCATTTCTTAGAACAATTTAGAAATAAAAGACACACGTTGAAAATAAAACCAACAGCAATATGAAAATTCCACAGAGATAAAAAGAAAAGCGAGTAAAATATAAAATAAATAATCTCCGAAATAATCCATCTTTTGTCTTTTCTATGTCCAATTAATTTATAAATATTATCCATGATAGGATCTCATTGGAAGAGAATCATTATCTAATTAGTCGGCACTTCTCTCCGATGTTCTTTGGATCTTTTTTTCTTATCTTAATTTGATTATATATTGAAATAACTTCTGAAACATTCTAATGTTGAAATTTCTTATACTTTCTTTAACTAATGTTGAATCGAAGATAAGCTTCAAAAGATTGTATCTTTCCGTTTAGAACAATGTTGGCCCGAAATCTATAGGATTATTTTTATCTTTTTAATTTACACCAGTCGACAGCTACAATTTTTTGTTTGTTCTTTTCTTTGATTTTTTTCTGGTTTTTGTATACATTTTGTTCTTCCGGTACGTTCACATATTGTTCCCAAGGTTCTTTTTTTTTATTTCGTTCATCCTGTTCTTCGTTGTTCTGTTATTCTTCTGATCTGGTATAATTTCCTCCTTTCCTTATGGTTTTCTTCTTCCGGTTCCTTTATATATTGTTCTTCCGGTTCTTTGATATACGGTTCTTCCGGTTCATTGCTATACGGTTCTTCTGGTTCTTTGACATACGGTTCTTCCGGTTCTTTGATATACGGTTCTTCCGGTTCTTTAATATACGGTACTTCCGGTTCTCTGATATACGTTTTTTTTTGGTTCGTTGACATTTGGTTCTTTGATATACGGTTCTTCCGGTTCTTTGATATACGGTTCTTCCGGTTCTTTGATATACGGTTCTTCCGGTTCTTTGATATGCGGTTCTACCGGTTCTTTGAAATACGGTTCTCCGGTTCTTTGATATGCGGTTCTTCCGGTTCTTTCATATACGGTTCTTCCGGTTCTTTGATATACTGTTCTTCCGGTTCTTTGATATACGGTTCTTCCGGTTCTTTGATATAGTGTTCTACCGGTTCTTTGATATACGGTTCTTCCGGTTCTTTGATATGCGGATCTTCCGGTTCTTTGATATACGGTTCTTCCGGTTCTTTGATATACGGTTCTTCTGGTTATTTTGTTTCTTTTCTTTCTGTATTTCCGGTTCATTGATATATTATTCATCTAGTTCTTTGTCTTTTCTTTCTTCCGGTCCTTTGACGGCCGTTTCTTTCAGTCCTTTCACGTATTGTAGTTTTGGTTGTGCTAAACTCTAAGAACTAAATTCTTGTGTCAAAGTTTACTGGGTTACAGTCCGCTTTCTTTAATAGCCTTGACAATTAGTATTTATTTCCATTTGCTGTATGTGATGGTGATGTTTTATCTCTGTGGTCTCTTGCCGTGGCAGTGCTACTGACAGGTTCTAAATAGCACTCCTAACATTTGCGGTTCAATATTTGCATCTCTTTGTTTAGCTGTGGGCAATCTTTTTGATGTTAAGGCAACTGCTATCTTGTATAAGTGCTACACCAAGCCTTCTGCCGAAGGCATCAATTTGGACGGTTGATGGCGTTACTGGACAGAAGTAAGCAAGAGTTACCTCCTTAATGATTAAGGCCTTGACGTTTTAGAATGAGTTCTCGTGACTCTTCGCCCACACGTATGTACTATCTTTTTTTAAACCTGAATTTGTATATGACTGAAAAGTAATCCAGCACGGGACAGGTTGGCTTTCCCCTACCCATACTGCCAGTAAAAGTCGTAGGAAACCCTCCAATCAGCAATTACTTCCGGCCAGCCTCGCCCTAGTCATTACAATACGTGAAGTTTACGAAGTTTGACTGTATGTTCAGACAGTCGTGGTATAAACGATCACATGTATATAAACCTTGCTACTTTTTGTTTATAGATCAGCTTCGTTAGTGGTGGGCACCGTGGTGTAATGGTTAAAAATCTTGTCTTGCTAGATCAATTGCGACTGAGTAGTGAATTCGATCCTCACTGGGTGCCCCATACTTTCGGCCTTGTGCCACATATAAGATACGCTTAGAAAATATTTTTTGGGGGCGGGCCCTACTAGCATCAGTTTAGTTTACTTGTGTTCGTATTTAGTTTGTTTTGGGGTTCATTCCCTCCTCTCTGATTTTTCATCAAAGATTTTTATATATAATTATTTATTATCATTAAATTTTTATGGCATGGGGTGCGTTTTGTAGGATCTCCTTGATAGGATACGGTATTATGGTGTATGGAGGATTGATTGGAGATGGACGAGTTTTTATGGTGAATGGGCAAATTGTAATGAGTCAATGGGTCATGAATCGGATTAGCTAGGAATGAGTTATTTAGTGACGACCAGCCTCAACCCCTCCCCTTTTCAGCCTTGTGCCACAATTGTGTATAAAAAACACAAAAAATAACGTTTCGTTAGTGGGGAGGAGGCTTACAGCTTTTAAGTCCTGTAATTTTTTAGTATATGAATATACTTTATTTGTATTATATAATGTACCGAATACTTTTATAGATTTGTTCTTGATGTTAAACTTTACACATCTGAATACAAGGCCATTTTCTTTAGCAGTTGTCATGTGGTTGAATTAGTTCTGCTTATGTTCTTTTCATTTTTTCCCAAATGCTACGTCATCATCATAGTTAATAATTGTTCCAAGGCGTTTATCTAATATTTGGTCCACTTTTGTTGGGAGAGATTTTGGCTTTCCACCAAGCAAAATGGCACCCTCCCAAATCAGGAGTTACTGAAGTCTGCAAAAAGCAGACTCTCTTTCAACTAGACTGACGAACTAATAACCATTTTTCTTTTGTATCAAGCTGGCTGATATAATTTATTCCTCTTAGTTATTCCCTCCAGGAAATGGTGGCATTTTTTTATTTCTTTCTTCAGATCCTTCAGTTCCAGGCTTAGTTTCCCATTGCTGTTTTACGCTGTCCGCTAGGCTGCTGACCCATTCAATAAGGCCATGATTTGCTTTCGAATTTCATGTGTCGTGTATGACTGTTGGTTACCGTAAGTTCAAAGACAATATGGTATTTCCTGGGAAGTGAACAATGTGGTCATATTGTTTTCGATTTACGTGTGTTCCTTTTTTCGATGTACATATTGGTTTGGTTGTCTGACTTAACTTCAAATGTAATATTATCATTTTCAGCTTACCGTAACCTATGTCCTAGTATCGCTAATCCGTTTGTGGTCCTTAATAAAAAAAAATAGTTCTCTAACCATATACCTCGGTCATATGTACATTTAAGACAGATAGTGTGGATTTGTGGTATGATGGTTTCATTAGAATAGTATTTAACCTCTTTATTGCGACCATCATCATCACACAACACGTACATACCTATGCAAATTCAAATTTCAATAACAATCATTCATTGGATAAAAATCGACGCTGCTGTGGTATTCGACAATTTTGATATCGCTATATTTTCGTATAGCAGATTTTGTGCACTTTTGGGGGAATCGGCTCCCAGAAAACTCCCCAAAGCTCATTCACTGATTGGTCAGTGCCGACCAATCGGATTCTCTGCACGTAAAGAGTGAGACTTCTCGCACAGCTCTTCTGATCCAATGATCCCCGATAAATGGCAAAGATAAATTTACCTTTTTCTTTTTTTTTTTTCTTTCTTCTTGCTGCAAAAGACCCAGAGAATTATCGTGTCAAACTTGCGGTCAGACGTTAAATAATATTTCACGTATTCATGTACGTACGAACTCTTACGAACTTCTCCAAAATACGAACGTTACACACACACACACACACACACACACACACACACACACACACACACACACACACACACAAGGTTCACTGTTATGCGCTTTGTAATTGTTTTTTTTTAATACATATATTTGTTTTATATATATATATATATATATATATATATATATATATATATATATATATATATATCAGTCTTATTTGTTTGTCTTTTTTTTATCTTCGGTTGGACACAACTAAAGTCCGACATTTTCTTGTAGATCGACCTTCTTCTAGCAGGAAATTTAAGCGCACGTGTTTCCTTTTCATCTTCACCCCCCCCGGTCCTCAACATCTTCGCAAATTTTGCTGTTCTATTTAAACACATCTCTATATGCATTTGGAGTGTTACCAACATTCTGGTTTTCGTTCACTTCCTGTCAATTGTCTATTTATTTCTATAGTCTCCTCTCCGGCCGTCTCATTTATTTACTGTGTGTAGTTTGCATTCAACTGATTGAAATATTTTACTCGTTGAGAGGTTATTTCATCTTAGAATAGCATCTTAGCCGCTACATATTTTATCAGAGTAGCTGTAGTCTGCGTCATTGTCTAGAGCGATGATTCTCAACCAGGGTCACAAAGGAGCGTTCGGTAGGCAAGGTCGAATTTACTGCTTATAAACTTCAACCTTGCCTACCGAACGCTCCTTTGTGGCCGAGAGGTTAGGCACGTCAGCGTAAATGACAGTTCCGTATAGGATGCAAGTTCGAATCCTGTCAAAGGACGAATATTTTCTATGAAAATTTCTCAGACATTCAGGCCGGTAAATGTTATTTAATACTGTTTATTATAAACAGAGCATTTACTTAAATACTTGTATCTATAAAAAAGAACGTTAAACATAAAAATGTCTTTAATAAATAAATTGTCGGACTTTGTCCATTTCTTAATATATATATATATATATATGAAAATTTCTCAGAGTTAACCTGTAGAAAAGACAATATTTATAAATATAAATGACAATAAGAAAACTGTAGTTATTGCTGACGCGTTTCGTCCAATGTGGACTTTCTCAAAGCAAAAAACAAAATGAATTTAATAAAAGAAAGTAACGAATAATAACAAAAACAGAAATGAAATGAATATGAAAATAGCGTTCTCTGCATTCTTTCAGTTGCTAAGAACCACATTCCTATTGTCATTTATATTTATAAATAAATAAATAAATAAATATATATATACATACAGGAACATTATATAAAGATAAATTAATGTAATATATTAATAGGAAATAATAATATAAATTTTAAATACAACACAAATAAAATATTAATATATAAATTAATTAATATAAAATATTAAAAAATATTAATAATAAAATTAAGTTAATGTATAAATTATGTACTTATTATATATAAAGGAATCGTATACATTTACTATTTCTATGAAACAAAACCTAAATTTTATCTATTAGTAAAAAATAAAATATGCCTATTTTTTTTGAATGGTTTTGGGAGTCCACAAAAAAAAAGAGAGCAAAAGTGCTCCATGGGTAACAAAAAAAAAAGAAAAAAAGAAGAGTTTGGAACTACTGGTGCAGAGCGTATATATTTTGATTAAATCTTTGGCGATATCGTGGCTGGAATTTCTCCTGTGGTGTGGTACCGCATCGTGTCATTTCGTTTTTTGTTTCTACTTTTCCATCTGCATACGCTGGCCCTTTTGTTCCATTTTTGCACATTTTAAGCATTCTGTACCATAGACTTGACACTTTTCAGGTCTTTTATGGTTTCCTCGAAAGTTGGAACAAAACCAGTTTCGTTGATACTTTGTATGGCATCTACTTTGAAATTGTGTTGTATGTATTTGTTTCGTGTGAGTTTTAATTTCTTCATGTGGCTTATAGAGATTTTGTGGTTTTTCAGTAATTACAAAGTTTACCCCAGAGTCATTTTTTTTTGTCTTCAGCAAGTAGTTGCTTTTGTGTTTTTGGATAGAATGGTCCATCGATTATCTGTTCGATGAGCCTCTCATCAAGCTTGCAGTAGAAATTTCTTTTCCTATTCAGTTTTGCTCTAATTTCATATCCTTTTACCTGTCCTTTTTTATCGTGACAGTATTTGAAATCCGAATATCGCTGAATTGCATGTGGCTAAAATTATTCAGCAGACACGACAATAATTCGAATTGAAAACATTTCCATGATTGATATTTGATTATTGATGATTATATTTTTATCGCGTTCGAGACTTCAGCGAAATATTAAACTATATATTCTTCTTTTTTTTTTAATTTTTAATATAACTAATGTCTGGCTTCAAAGATCCAAAAATTCGAAATTGAATGGATAAAAAATATTTTTGTTTTCCTTAATACTTTCTTTTTATTCTATGTAGTACTGTGTCCTTCTATCTTCTATCTTCTTGCCATCTCTCCCGAGCTATCCACACAATCAAGCTCTCTAGGTCGGTTATACGTTGCTTTTCTTTGTCTCTCTCACCTCCAATCTGTGTTGTGAGTA